GCGGATGTACGGTACAGGAGTCCACCCCTCTGAAAGCAGCCAAGGTTGAGAAACACTGCGCTATAGGATAAATCAGCAAAACGACATCGCGTCTTAATCCCGCATCCTGACATCATGGCAGGAACAGCCGCGCAGCCGTTTCGTCTCGCCTACTTTAAATGTTTGGACGTCCGACCTGGATTTCAAAGAGGGCAGCCTTTCGACTGGATTTTTTTTTTCCCCTGTCAAAAACGTTTCGGAAATTATGAATAGCCCCTTAGTGCCAATCGCGAAAGAGAACTAGTTGGTTTATAGCAACGTCTGCTATGGTGATGTCAGCAGAAAATAACAGCGAAGAGCGGATTCGACTGTTTCCAGGAGCCGGCGCTGCTGGGTGAGTGTCTTGTTCCATCATCGCCAGTAAGATAAATCCCAGTGTTGGGAGAAAATGGGGAGCGGTTTCCTTAGCAGCCTTTTGTGCTGGCGGTAGCTCAACGTGGAAGAATCCGATCTCTGCGAGCATGTTTCTCTGGTGGCGAAGGTCCTGAAAATGGTATGGTTTGAAAATGGAATTTAAATTGCCAGGCAGAAGGTGATGGGCAGGTAAGCAGCTATGAATTGCTGCCGTTCCTTCAGGAGTCATACCAAAAGGCACCCTTATTTAATTCGGGGTGTGTTTCATCATGAGCGGTCTACCGTCTCTTCACATTTTCATTTACACGAGAATCCAAACTCTACGTCATGGACAACAATTACTTCCGTTGCAGGTGTATTGCATGGCCGCTTTTATGGGAAGATGGAGAGGAGCCTCCAAGATTGATTTCAACTGGAGTTGGCATTGAAAGTTGGATAGCCTGGGAAAGCTGGCCATTGCACAAGATTTTGGGGGCTTCATGCCCCTTTCCCCTCCGGTTATGTTTTTTATTTTTATTTTTCCTTTGGCAGAGGGAAAATACCTCCTCTTCATCTTCCTTTCCTTTAAATTTGGAGCACCCTGCACCAAAAAGAGGAAAAATGGTGTAAACTTTTAATAGGTTTAATTAAATTAATGTTGAAAAAAATGCTTTAGTTGTCTGCGAATCAGAGAATCAGGGAGGAATACATGTTGGTCTTTCTTTACAGTACATGCTTTTGGATGAGGCGAGAGAGTAGAAATCATAGAAGTGGGGAGAGAGATGGGGTTGGGGGGAGATCTGTTCATGATTACTGCAGTCCCGCTTCATGGTCACCCAGTTTCTTTCAAGGCATCTCCATGGAATGATTGGAGTAGGTCATCAGACGCATCCCTGCTTAATGGAAGCTTGACCTGAAATATTACATTCAAGCTATGGCTGGAGATGGTGTCATTTCCAAATCAGCAACTGCATGTGAGATTCAGCAAAGCTTTTCCAGCTCATGTTGTGTGGTTGTTACCGCATTCCAATTTCTACTTACTTACTTACTTATTTATTTATAAATTGAATAAATAAATAAATAAATAAATAAATAAATATTGGAATGCAGTTAATACTATCCTCTTAAACTAAAGCTTTATGGAATAATATAAGTGTCTTCTTCCTGACTTTTGCCCATATAATTAGTATCCACTTCTCTATCCTGTTCAAAGGCAAAAAGAGTGACTGGTGGCAAAAGCGTAGAATTTGTCTACAACTTCTTAAACTGAATGTGACTTTCTCTGGGATCACGTGGCAGCTGTGGAGGGCAGTTGTGCGATCCTTGGAAAAGGTGTGTCTGCTTTAAGGACTTGCAGACAAGTGCTATTTTAATGCCCTTGAGGCTTCAAAGCATGTTTTTTCCTCTGAGTCTGAAGTGCTGCATAGCCCTTTCAGGCAGTATCATGAGAGAGACTAAGATTGGGAGGGTGAAGCTCTAATTGTGTCCCCACTTAAACCTTGGCAAGGCTCAATCATACCCTGACAACACCATGTTTTTGTCTTGTTCCCATGACACTACCTTCACCTCATTCCCACCCAATGAGAAACACAGGCTTAAGGCTGGACTGGTATAAATAAGCATTTTCACCTTTATTCAAAGGGCACCCTCAAGATGTCTAAAATCTAATACACTTAGCCACCCATTAGCTTGGAAGTTATGTCAGGTGGCCTGTTGTGTGTATAACTGAGGTATGTCTTGGGACAATTGGGTGGTAGGAGCATTCCCTCCCCTCTAGTAGAGGAAATAGGGCCTATATTGGAAAAGACCCTGATGCTGGGAAAGATTGAAGGCAAAAGGAGAAGG